AGCCATGCTCAGGTCACTGGTTATCTCAAGTGTTTTTATTTTATTCTGAATGACACCTGAGGAAAGGCTGGCTAACACTGAAAGTTATCATTAAGGCTTTTTACATGTTCTAACAAAATGGAGCTATTTAAACTACTGACATTTCTTACCACAAAACTCCAATTACACCACCAGCTTCTGTAACACACTTGAAAAGAAAGTTTGAAAGCCATTTTTATAAGCCTCACTTGAGAGATGTCAAGAGATAGACACTGAACTTCCTTTTCATGCTCAAAGTAGTGATTTATGACAGAATAGTTTAGGAAAACTCACATTTTCACAGTTGTCTTAACTACTGCAGAGCCCTTTTATTTCTCCAGTTGCCTGTCAGCATTATAATAAATTAAACTATTCAAGGTTTCAAGGCTGAGGACTAGTAAAGTGATGCACGTGAAAACAGAATAAAATTAATGGGTTCAAGCTTTCCATTACTAATTTGTACAAAGAGTTGAACAGAAACTGCAATATCTGCTTTTATTTCACTTGCCCATTTCGTGACCTCAAGAAAAACAGCTAGAGGTAAGCAGGCAGAAAAGCGGACTGGAACCACACAACCCAAACCACCACCACCAAGAAATGTCAGACCCCTACAGCCCTATGAAAAGCTTCAAAAAAACCTGAGAAACGTCAGTGTTGCAGCCATGCTGGTTTAAGGATGCAAACAAGGCATTGCTCATAAGCAAAAGACACAGTCCTTCATTTGCCCAGGTGCTACAGTTGGACAATGCACACAGCTTTTTTTTTTCCCCCAGAAGAAGGCTAGACACACTTTGTGAAGCACCAAAGATGGTTACACTAAAAAGAAAACCTGTACTAAATTCAAATGTCTGGCTGCACAGTCTCTAGCTTTAAGTGGCCGAGCACATAAAAACACTTCAAACTAAAAATACAGTTTACAAATGTTAACATGCAATAGGAGAGCAACAAATTGCACCTTACATGCTTCTTCCACCACTCCCAAGTGCTCCTCAGAAAAGGGCATTTAATGATAACAGCAGTAAAGGTAGTCCAAAGCACTAACGCTGCCAAACCTTCTCTTTGTTATTTAACAAACTAGTCAAATACACCAGTAAATCTGCTCAAGAGCCCGAGCTTGAAGCTTAAGCTCTGCTCTACCTTCTGCAGAGAAGGTGGCTCATCTATTCCACAGCTAAAGCCTAAACACAGGCAGTTTACAACTGAGTACTTAACTTGAAAATGATTATGAGGGCAACAATGCAGGATGGAACAAGACCTTCAGCAAATCAGTAGGACTTCCATGGGGGTTAAGTCTAATCCAGCATGAACCAAACAGCTTGCCAACGAGAAGTAAAGCTTCCTGATGACAAGCTAGCCACCCGTCCTACAAAGGAAGCTACTGGCAATTACAGACTGCAAGACTAAGTATAAAGATACCTTTCTCAGCTATGAGAGACTGTAAGAAGTAGGCTCCAGGCATTCCCCTGAACTCAGTAAATCCCTATTCTTAAAGGTAAGCACTGTAACTACATGTATTTAATATATTCTACATTAAAAGCATTCACAGCTAGTTAGGTTTGACCTTATGTTTACAAACAAAATATCCCTTGTATTTCTATTCTCTCTTGATTACTAACCTGGAAAAACATGAGTTTTTCCATTATTCTGCATGTTTCTGGACTTATAATGGACATCTGCCAAGATTTATTAGTCAAAGGGAAGGCAAAATCGGATGCATTTTCCTCCATCTCCATTTAAAATCAAGCCTTTATTTCAGTCATTTTAAGCAGAAACCTCTCACAGCAGTTGGGATAAGCAGGCTGTTATACCATTACACCGTTACATTCAGTTGCAGAGATACGTCTCACTTCATACAAATATAAGCAAAAGGTGTGTTTGTGGTGAGGTTTTTCACCCTTTGGGCAAAAGCATCAAGGAGCAGCTCTTCAATGTGCCAAGTATATCATTCTGCACTCTTTGCATCAGAAGGTCAACTACTAATGGAGTAACTCTTGCCCATGGAACACAGAGGGAATTACACCATTGTGTCATGACAAGCCTTACCTGACAGAAAAGCACATTCGACTTGCTTGAGGAATCCAACTGTTGAGTGAAAACCATCTATATTCAGTGTTGTCACAGGTGGGGTGGGGCTTCTTAATTGCATGAAGGTACAGAGCACTACTACTTGTATTATTTTAAGTTAGAAGTTAAAACTTAACTGAGCGCTACCCTCATCTCTTAAAATATCTGAGGCACAAGTATGAGTATGTACTTGTTTTATTCATAATTTGTCTTGGGATACCAAATGTATTTCTACTTCAGGTGATTTAACAAAATTGTTCAACCTCATTTCAAAACATTCACTGATCCACTTTTCATTCAATGGCAATATTGAACGTTAAAAGGAACATAAAAACAAACATGCACACAATTGTACAGTTTTCATAAATGTCTATTTCATTATTTGTGGGTAGCGCATTAAACAGTTAAATACATTTAAATAATGTTTCAGTGACTGCACTAATGCAGAATTTTAACTAGACGGGTAACCAATTTAACTAGGAACCAGCTAACAAGTAACTGTCTAAATACTTCAAATACTTGTTCTATGTCATCCTTCTTGGAAAAAAAAGCCTGCTGGTCACATTGGAAATACATTTTAAGGCCAAATTCTTCTGATATCCCTTCTCTGCAGCAGTTTCTTCGCCTTTTTAAGCCTCCAATTCCAGGCCAAGACCAAGTTTATGGCCACCAGCATTGATGCTCTTTCCATCTATCAGGGCAGACAGTGTAAGCTTCACACCTGTAAAATTTTTAAACAGCATGTTTACGATCAAAGTAGCTTTCACGCAGCTCAACCTCTGTCATTAGAAGTCCCATTTGCAGCTCTATTGAATCACTTTCCTCTAAAGATTTCTGTAGAAGAATCCATTTACCCGTGAAATATATCAAAAGCTAGTCACGTGAATCAAGCTAGATGCTTTGTGTAAATACCATGTCATAAAGTGAATATACAAAGTCAGTAATTTTTAAGTACACAAGATCTCTCCTTTTCTACATTAAGATGTGTACAGGAGCAGAAAAACTACACATAGAAAGACAGACACTTTTACCAAGGAAGGTATGGACAAACCAATGGTAATATAGCATTAACAGGTGTTTTCATACTTTTTTTTTTACTAAATATGAAGAGCAGGAAGTGTGTACTTTTGACGATTAATTATTATTTCACAACCTGCTATTATTCAATAGGACTGAAGAAAGAAATGCTAAAAAAAAAGAGACTGCTTTGCACAGCCTAAGCTATCAATAACAATACAGTCCACATCTACGCAAATCAATGAGGAATATGATATAGAAATATTATCAGGTACAATGGAATTTGTCTTGTTTAGATAAAGGTTTTATGTGCAATGTAAGCCACTGTAAAACATATACTCTGCCTTGCAAGACAAAATTATTCTGAAGAAGGAAAACAGTTGCCCATTAATGCATAGATCAAAGATTTTCTTTGTGATACATAAGGATACGTCTGTGACACAATTCATGTGATAAGCCTTACCCGGCCTCAGGGTCTGGGTGTAACCCACTCCAACTAGACTAGAATTGTTAACTTTTGCCTGAAAAAAAAAAAGACAAAAGCAACTGAAATGTTGTAATTGATTAGTTCTTTGTTACCCTTCAGAAGCTAGAATAATTTTGGTAACGCTGCCATTATCAACTTAACAAAATTTTACTTGTTCTTCCAATGCCTCTGTGCTTACTGGATTCTCTCTTCCCAGCTATGCTCTTGCCCCTCAATTTATAGCTGAAGGAGCAGCATATTAAGAGCAGACAGAATATAAGGGCAGGAAGAACTGTTACTGGAATGTAGTTTGGCAGGTGAACTTCCCCACTCACCCCTTTTCAGAAGGCCATAGGAATCTACCACCACAGTCTCTCTAAACAAACAACTTCAGCAGACAGCTCTACGGTCATATTATCACAAAAGAATGATTATCTTGCAGGTCCACTCAGTCAAGCAAACAAACATTTCATAATATCATCATAAACAATATGTGCAAAATTAATCATCTCACTTTGCATCACTTCCTCTATAGGATGATTTCAAAAAGCCAGGTTCAATTCTAGCTTTGTAACATACAGAAAACTTTTCTGCATATTGCCTTTTTAAACAGTTTCACCAGAGTTCTTACCATGAGAACATGACAAAGCTCCCCAAAAAACTGTTTTAAAAAAAAAAAATCTGTAAACTTACGGAACTAAACATGAAGAGCTTTTTAATGCATTTACGAAAAAAAAAATCCTATAGAGTAGCACAACATTTGACAGTTAGATTCTAAAAGGCCGCCTGCCGTATGCAACATTACAGAATGTAAATACTGCTAGTTTAATTGTAACTGCCTGGATTGCAAGAGTAATTCCTACAAGACTTCCTGAACTATTACCTTCCTTGGTACCAGTAATACACATTTGCAGAAACTGAAAACCCTCTGTGCTTAGCACGACCCTTTTGGCTAGAGCCATACTTACAGAGATGGAAGCAGTGGAATCCAACTTGTATTTAGCCGCAATGCCAAAGCGAGTGCTGTTGCTACCTGCTGTCCACGCCAGGTTTACAGCAGTTTCAAGATTGTCACTCACTTTCTGGTAAATTGACCCACCAAATTCTGAACCATCATTGCTGCACAAATTAAGAAAAAAGTTAGTTTCCAATATTTACATGATCCCAACATTTTATTATTTTTAACTACTTCACATTTTTATTCAAATGAGAATTCCAAAAGTTTGAGTTGTTTCACATTTTTCAACATGAGAAGATGAACAAAGGCTTGAGGGCAAAATTAAATTGCAATAATTTATTTAAAAAAAAAGGTATTTCAGAGTGCTACAGCTAATTCTCACACGAATGCTGAATTAAGTACTTGACGGTAATTCCAGATCATATCTTTACAAAATTAACAAATAAAGGTTAAGTTAGAATTCAGAATGCATGTTTCCTACGATTACTGAATACATGTAATATTCCTAAAGAATTAGACGATTTTTAAAAAAAAAAATCTGTCAATGTCTGACATTAGTAAACTGAAACGAATTCTCACAGCCCAGACTAAAAAGTGTAGCTTCGTCCCATAGCTCTCAATTTCCATAATCCCAGACAGACACAATGCCCATCCTCCCCCTCCAAAAGGACAAACTCCTACCTCAAAAATCAAGTAAATTATTTCCTAAACACACTAGAACATGAACTTTTATTAACTTAAATTGAAAACACCATGTTCTTCAGTAGGTTTTGATCAGATTGCTCTGAAGAACATTTAAGATCTCAAAGCAGCAAGTCTGAAGAAAATTCATAAACAAGATGTCTTACACTTGTTTAGTTATACTCCAAGTGTTTCATGCACTCCACTCTTCATCTCAGACAGGCAAGAAGATGAACCTACTCAGAGTCCAAAAGCAAAGCTCTAGTCTTGCCTCAGAAACTACTACTGGCCTACTTAGAGAGTGCAACACGAATTACTACCTCTAACAAACGTACTGCCCTTAAATTATAGTCAGATACAATTCAATGTGATGGGAAAGCTGGAAAAAGCATTATGATTGGCTCTGGATAACTGAACTACTGTACTTTCAATTTGGATGTACTTCAGCATTTGGTAACTATAGCATGTTATGCTACAAGTGCTAACAAGCCACAAGTATTTACTGTTTTGTAAAAGAGAGATAAAAAGTAACACTTATTATTTCTTTAGAGTTTCCTATTAAAAAATGCACTCTATCCATTAATGACCTTGCAAGCGCCTCTTGGTATTTCAAGCATTTGCATTCTGACTAGAAGGAAAGGTAGAGAAAGTCTGCTTCTGTAAATCTGGACACAATTTTCAGTACTTACACATTAGTGTGCAGTTGGAAGTCTCCAGTCTTGTAACCCACAGAGAAGTTATTTCTTGTCAATTTTGATTTGGCACTATCAAAAGTCATCTGATAACCAGCAAGCCAGCCTTCATAACCAAAGACAGCCGAACCATGGATTGCAGGTCCAGCAAAATCAAAGTCAACATCACAACCTAGGTTTAGGCATTCACGTTTATAAGCTGACTTAATTTTACCACTTTTCTTTCTGAAACAGAGAAACAGTTATCTTAAAACAAGGCTTAATCTTCCTCAATCAACTGCCAAATTCAAGCCATATGACTCTATACAATGTATCTAAACACCACACACATGCATCCTCTGGACTGGGCCAAAGCACAGCTAGCCCATCAAGAAAGCACAGAGCTACCACAAACAGGCATTTTGTGATGAGTGTAAAGGCATTTTCATGCCTCCTGCAATCTTCGAAGTATTTCTATCCCAGAAAATGTTGTGAAATGTCCAATACTAATCCTGTAGAAAAAGATGTGATGCTAAAGAGCAGAAGCCTTCAGAATTGTGATTTGCTAACTTGGATCAGTAGGAAGCCATACAAACAACAGACCAGGTGAACATTTAGAGAGCATGGGTGTTGTTATTGCCCTAAATAAGGTAAGAAGTTTAACGATTCTTACCCTGTATTTGGTGAGAAAGTTGTATCAAATGTCAACTTCAAGCCTTTGGCAATCTAATCAGAGGGGGAGAAGATAAGATAAAGCTGTGAATTCAGTTCTGCCAGTTAGGTAAAACAAATAAATACTCTGCTAATCTATTACCTGATCTTCAATTGCAATTTCTGTTCCCAGAGTGTTATCTGTGTTCCATTTTTCCGTGAAAGTCAGCCCATACTCAGCCCATTTGTATTTGGTCTCCAAGCTCCCATTTACTTTTCCAGTGTCTGTGTTTGATGAACCAGATGTTGTGAATTCCTAAAAAGGACAGTGTTCATGTTATACAGAAGATACAAGTGATCCTGGAAGCATTACACAGTTCCAAAAGAGAAAAGACTTTTCTGCAAACACTGAGATCCTGTTATTCTATGCAACAAGTTTAACATCAGACAACTTGCAAGGGGAAAAGAGGAACAACATGGACAAGAACCAGATGATTCATGCCTCCTCTACTCCACATCTCGACTGCAGCATTTCTGCCACTATGACAAAACATACAGGTTTGCAACATAACTCAGAAGCAGGACAGTATTTACTGTACATATTCTCCTTAAAAGTAGAAACAAGTTCTTGAAATATAAGGTGGTTTGATACTCCTAATGAGCAAATTAAATCAAGAGCCAAGAATGCTATAAGGCAGATAACGCAACTCCAGTAAAATCCTTTAAGGATCACATATGTATTTTCATTATGTCAGTCCACCACCTCCAAAGATAAATTATGTACTACTGAAAAATGTCGCAGAATACCATCATTTTTCAAATTGAGAGTAGGGTAGGTGGTGGTTTGGGTTATTGTTGGTTTCTGGTTTTTTGTTGCTTTTTAAGAGAGTTCTCAGTCTAACCAATGCACCAGTGCCTTCCACATAAGCCACAGGCACACGTTTTTACTGACATCTATAAAATTCCTATCCTTCTAACACTTTGGTTTAATGACACACAAGAAGAACATTCATGTTTGAACTGTGAGCTAAGGCAACAGTCTGATTTTATGCTTCTGGTAGAGTCTTACTTGGAATTCTTGAAAGTATTTGAAAGTTAGTAGTGTCACTTACATCTCTTTATTAAATTAAGTAGTCCTTTATGTCTCTCACTATTTGGACTCTTGCAAAGAACAGAATGAATAATTTCTGTGTAACACTATTCAGAAACTAAAGGCAAACCTAGAAGAACTGGAAGTCTGGTTTGAAAATATATGTTAAGGAGCTCTTTCCGCTGAAATATTATTGCCCTTATGATTTAAAAAGTGTATTATTTTAACTTTTTAAAACATATAAATCAAAATTTTGACCTTTGACTTCCTCCATGCACAGTACTGTTTTCAAATCAACTCCTCACACCTCTCCCAGAAAGAAACATGGATTTGAAATCACAAGTCCTTAAGCATTCATATTCTCACGGCCCAAGACATTACAAGTGTGCATGAGACTGTTCTTTAATGGTGGCTGATCAAATTCAACCACGGCCAAGACATCTACTAGTATTGTTAGTGAACCACTAAACCATCCACACAGTTGCATAATTCTAGTAAGGTCTATTTCCTTCCAAGTGACAGAGACTGCACAACTTCAAGCCCAAATACCTACAGCTTTAACTTCTTGCTTTGTGCTATTCCTACTGCACTCGTGACTGCAACCATTGTGGTAACAGCTTCAGGAGCAGCAAATTATTGCATTAACTCTTATCACTGCTTTAAAACATCTGCAGCACATATGTGCCAGCACTTTCTCCTTCTGGGGAGGATGGCTATAACTGTTACGGGATTCACAAGAGGACTTAGATTTTTCAGAGATTTTTACCAGTATTAGTGGTAGTTCTCAGAAGAAACGAGATAAAATAAGAACAACTACATCTATGATAGGGCTCTTGCGAACTGTGCTTCAGCTGGGATATAGCCTTCTAGAAAAAACACAGCATATAACCCACACACCTTGTTTCTAACAGCCAGTTACACTGTTAAAGCTTCTCCTTATAAAGGTAGATTTTTTTTTTTTCATATCTTGCAAAGTCTGCTCTAGAAATAGATAAAAGTTACAGAAGGCACTGCTTGCATGACCAAGATATCTTTCATGGTACACTACTGCAATACTTTAATACTCTTAAAGAGGAGCCAAGGATTCAATGTGCTAGTTCACTGCCAACTACTTCACACAAGCATCAAGATGCCAGAAATTTCCACCAAATACAAACAGTATCACAAGGCAGTTTAGAAATAAATTCTATGTACTATAATTGATATATTAAAATACTTTAAAAATGTGTGTTCACCTCCAGACATAAGACAAGGGACAATTAACAAATCTTTTTATTTTACAAAGATTACTACACAGTGAGATACTCCTGTAACATTCAGAATAAAGTCAGATCTTTAGAGGCTTCTGAAATTATTTTACACCAAGAGTTTATTGTTCATATAACCTATAGACTACTTAACAGCACCTGGAAGGTTTCCTTTCTAATTAAGTATCAGGACATATTGAGAAAAAATATAATGAATAAAAGGCCTTTAAACTCACCACTCCGCTTGCAGACTTTGTTTTCACATCCAGTTTCACCAACCCAAAACCTTAATGAACAGAAGTCAAAAGTTACATCAGCAGGCTTTAGCTAAGACTATGCATATTTTCCAAGAAGCTGGTTGTCCAAGTAGTTTCAGCAGTGTGACATGTATATACATATACCGAAACAACCATAGACTGACTTCAGTAACACTCAAATTTTAGATGCCACAGTGAGTAGAGGCGGCCACTACAGAACAAGCCAGGAGTTCAGTTCTCACTACCACATGGAACGTGGGCAGTAGCCTTTCAGTTGTACACTGTACATTTAACCACCAGACGATTACTTCTAAGAGCAAATTTAGTGACAGACAAAATGCATTCTTTCCTGTTCCTGGGATGGCATTGGCTTTGTAGTCAATGCCATTTGAAAAGCTATCCCAATGCATAAAATCTGTCTCTCAGCACCAAGACGACATATCTCAAAGTAAAAAACTGTGTAAGTTAAGTCACTGGGAAATACACAGCCATTGAAACTGAAACATAAGTAGGTTTTATGGGAGTATCAATTCACATTGCTAGCCTTTGAGCTGAGTGACAATCTTGGCGAAAAAGCCCCCACATGCATTCCCAAAGACCAGTAAGAAACAGCACTGTAACAAAGCCCAATTTAACTATTCAAGCGCCTGGTATTAAAGCATTGTAAAATGTTGAAGGATTCCTTAACCCACTAGCTATTCCTCTTTCTGTTCCATAAAAGGCTATGATGTTAAAGTGGTATATATCCCTTTCTATATCAACAAACGTTGTGGCACAGACAAATTGGTAAACAAAGTGTATTCCTAAGTTAAATTACACTTGATGCTTACATTCTTGCGTACGTGTACATCTCTGACATTTATGTGGCTAAAGCACATCAAACAGCCCACAAAAAGCCTCCAATGATCTGTTAGTTGACAGTAATAATCTAAAAACAACACACCTTCCCCCTCCCCAGAAACACAGGCATTTGAGCACTCAATTTTACATACAGGCTTAAAAAGGCAATCAATTACTGCACCACAAACACCATGTTTTCTAAAAGGTACTATTCTTACCATATCCTTTATTGAAGATATCTCTGGCAGATTTGCCAAGGTCTACATATGATGGAGGAATCGCCATTGGAGCTGAAAGGTAACAGGCTAATTAGTAGTGAACCTTTTGCCACTGCACACACACACAAAAAATGCTCTCGCAACTCTTCAAAGATACTCTTTAAGGCAGATTCATATATAAAGGCAGTTAATAGACAGGATGGCTCAAACAATCACAGTATTCTGTGAAACACCTACAGATTTTCAGTGACGGCCACTGTGAACACTGAGTGTTTTCTTGGCTTAGGTTATCCGCTTGCAGAGAAGAGGCATTGCAAGACCACTCAGTTCTTGATTTTTCAAGTAGGTTTCTCCATACATCTTTAATTACCAGAAATCAACTAATAGCTCACATTTCCAGAGTTGGCAGTTACCACCGAAAACCAGGGAACTGGAAATTTGAAAAACTGTAATGCAGACAGTTACTTCCTGAAGTTCCACAAGGTCAAATTCAACAGATGCTTATGATAACTACCCGACAGGTAAAACCTACAAGGTTTTATTTTCAAAACATACAAAGAGTGTGTATCTGTTCTGCAACACCATTTGCCCCATATTTTAAATGCAGACATACAATTCAAATAGGAACATCTAATGCCATTAACTAGCAATCAATTTGATTATGTTTTTTCCCCCTTTATAACATACAAGAGTTTAAATTTGGGAGTCGCCTTGTTAGCTTAAAATGAACGAGTAGTAGGAGTGCTGGGTCAGTGAGAAAAGCCCTCTTTAAAAGTCCCTTTCTCAGACAGAGCGCCTCTGGCAATCTCACTGTTAGAGAGCCTGTCATTCAGGACTAGCCATGACCCAGCCCCCAGACTGATGGATAGACACCAGCCTAAGGACTCACACAGCCTGTACGGTTCTCCTCCCCAGAAGATACGCTGTCTGTACCTTCCTTCAGTGACTGTTTCCCCATGATTTCAATAGCAAAAGGCCGTTGTCACAGAGGCGCTTCCTTTTAAAGTTTTAAAATACAGAAAACAGAGCCTATTTCAAAGAGTTAGCATCTCCCCTTATGCTGTGAAAGGGGGGCAACAATGAAACTAACTAGGTAAGTGTCATAAAAAGGCTAAACACAAGCAAACAAAAATCTTCTCTTAGTTTTTCAAACTGATTGGTCACGTTTGTTTTGCAGAGAAAGTCAGATTAACATAATTGACTGTTAATCTTACTCTTCCGTGGGTTTTTTTGTTGGTGGGTTTTTTGTTTAAATAAAGAGAAAAATATCTTCAGAATCTAAAAAATGAGGGCCGTACTCTCATATGTTAACTTTCAACTGAAAGAAGAAAAGGTTATTTTCATTTTTTTATAATATTTTTAACCAGTATTTAAATTTTCAACACCTAGCTATAGAACTGCTTATCTTCTGCAGATCTCTGCAAGATTGTAAGAGCATTCAATAATACAGGATCAAGGCAAGCTCTTCTCTTCCTCCCCTCAAAAAAGTTTATTCCCATCTTTTCATGGCCTTATCATGTAAAGGGAAAACTTTCCTGGAACATACCATTCAGAAAAATTCCCCTAAGGGTACCATTCCACTAAACAGACTATTTCAGAATAGCATCCACATTTAAAAAAAAAAAAAGCCCCCCCAGAAACAAATAAAAAACCAAAATAACAAAAAACTCATTACACCTGCCATATACAACCTAACTGTATGAACTACTACTATTAAAAAAAAACCCAAACCACTATTTTAGCAAGCAATGGTAAGGCACAAGACTGTTTCTTATCTTTCTACAGTTTCTAATGCAGTTTTCCAGAGTATCTTACTACACTTCTCTAAGCCATAACAGGGTAACTTCAACCTCTTCTGAGCAAAAGCATTTACATTCAGTTTAACAAAAACAAAAACCCCCTTTTTTAGTAAGCAGTTCTAAACTCTACAACCAGGTCACTATAGCAAGACATCCATTGCTTGCTCAAGAACATAAAACGTTTTGTTTTTCATAGAGCTAAAGTAAACGCTGACAAAAAAAAAAAAAGACAAGAAAATGACTTAGAGCACGTGAAGTTTAAAAAGGCTTAGCCCAAGTTCGAGTCCATAATAAATAAGTCTACAGCAGAACAGATACTAATCCTGGTGACAAGACATTAAATGGTTCCTATTACTTATTCAATAAGAAGTAGTAGGTGATAGACCAAGTCAGCATAAAGTGTGGCAACACTGCTCTTTCCCCTCTACTGCTGTACAGGAACTGTACAATTCATTACGAGCTTAAAATAATTTAGAGAAGGTTTAGCTATGTATTTTTCCTTTAATGAATAGGTCTCACTTATAACCAGCATCTTCACAAGAATAATTATTTTTAGTTTGAAAGTTTTATACTAGCCTTTAGCACAGAGGTGCTTTTACAGTATAAACACGCTTTTTGCTTTTGTTTTCAATGTTTGCAATTTGACTGGACAACCATTACAGACAAGATCTTTGTGCTAAGCAGTAACGTCCTCAGAAGTTAACAAACTGGTATCTTGTATCTAAATTCAAAGGATTACTAAAGTAAAAAGGATATTGCAGTTTTATCTGGCCTTGTTAAGCATCCTTCCCATTGCAAGCAAACCAACCAGTACTCATCAGACATTCCAGCCTACAGATGTAAGTTTTGTGATAAAAAGTGAAAACAGAGTACAACTGACACACTGTTGTTCTAGTCCTATAGTAACAAGGATGAACAAGGACAAGAGGGGAAAATAAGAGTTAATTTTGGGTATACTAAATACCTGATGAGCCAGTGCTATCATCAGAATGTTTGTTAAATAAAAACAGGGACGAAATTTAAAAATCATTCCTGTGTCCTCCAATGTTGGCAAGTTAGCTAGGTTTGCTAATTCTTATAATCAGAATTAATTTTCTTCAATCCTATTTCAAAGTGTCTTTCACTTAAAAACTACTAATTAGAAGTGACTAAAACATAAAGACTATTTAAAAACAGGAGATTTGTCGTGAAAGCAACTACCAGATAATCTTATTTCTCATTTCAAAAACACAGAATCTACTTGTATCAAGTAGGAACCCTACCCTGATGTTTGTTTCATGTCACCCTAAAAAAAAAGTTTAGTTGATCTGTTACTCAAGAGCCACAAACATACTTTCTTCTTCTGTAAAAAAGAAAAAAAAATAGCCCAGGAAGAGAAAAATGTATTAATGTTATCAGAATTATTACATCACGCTTTTCCTTCGAGGTAATATTTCAAAACTCTCTCACACCCTGCAATTAAAGGACTATCTTCCCTAAAGATTTCTAACAATTTTAAGATCTCAGGATACTGAAGATCAGGTTAGAGGTTAGATCAGACTATGATAAAAAAAAAACTTAAGTACTCATGTAATTTAAACCAAAACGCAAAAACTACACTGAAATTATAGTTTCCTATTGCATAAATAGCAACAGGAAAAACTAGTATTATTCATAAAAATGCTTTGTTAAAGTACACCGGGCACACCACTGACCTTTAGACTTACACTGCTACCGCGGTTTAAAAAAGGAAAATAAAAACAACCAAACCCCACAAACACCCAGGAAAACCCCTCTCGTTGCCCTTGCTTCAGCTCTCTCCCTACTCACATCGCGCTGGTCTAGCGAGCACGGCTAGGCCAGCTCAGAGACTCCACGGGGAAGGGAAAGAAAAAGAAACATCTGAGAACGAACTACGTGCTCAGAAACCGAAAGCGGGGGTAAAGCACGGCGTCCCAGAAGAGAAGGACACCGAAAGGGAAAATGGGGATGCGAGAAGCCAGGCCGGGACGCACGGGGAGCCGGCACACCCTCCCAGGGAAGGCCCGGGCGGCGGCGCCCAGCGCCAGGTCCTTCCCCCGCGCCCAG